CTAACTATTACATCATTTTCTTTGAATATTTATAAGACAAATAATTGTATAATTAAATGGAAATTGAAATAAAAATGCAAAATGTAAAAAGGATTTTTATGTGTATGAAAAAAAGAATATTATTTATGTGAAAATAAAAAGAGAAATAAAAAGGTATTATTTTTGGAGTATTTTCAAATTTAGGGCAAAGCCCTAATTCTATTAAATAAAATACATTATTCATTTATTATGTACAAATATTTATTTATATATACAAAATAAAATAAAATGAGGTATTTGTCCAAATTGTATTTTTATATTAAATATTAATAATAATAAAAAAAACAAAAGTGTATATATTTTGTATTTACTCTAAATATATTAATAAATATATGTATATATGTATTATTTTAGATATGTATTATATATAAATAATAATAATATTTAATATTTGTAAAAAAGTATTTTTTATATAAAGTATTTTCAGAAGGTAAAATAAAATAAAAATGAAAATAAAAGTATTTTTACATATTTCTCAATATTTTTAATGAAATGTATATATTCATTTATTTGTGTATTAATCAAAAGAAAATCACATAAATACCTAATAAATTAAAAAATGGTGAGAAAAAAGATTTTTATATTTTTAATAACATGAAAAATAATAAACGAATCAATCAAGAAAAGAAAAAGTCAGAAATCATTAAAAATAAACCAAATGGGCTCAGGGGGTGCAGAAACAATTGTATGGTGTGAAAAGTAGAACAAAAGTTGGCCCAGCCCATGAGACACCTTCTTCAACCTCCAGCCAAAAACGCGCGCTTGTAACACGGATTCAAACATCCTGATTCTTTGAGCTTTTGCACAAACTTTCAACACAAAACATGTCAAGCATTGAATCACGATTCCAAATATATAAAAAACTCATCCTAACTCTCAGAAATAAGAGAGAATTTTAACAATCCCAAATCCTGACCTAAGTTTTCTGCCATTTTCAAACCTTAAATTCTCACAGCTCAAGCAAAAGAAATGAAAAGTAAAAACATGTACATGTTCAGTGGCATGAGTAGAACATTGTTTATTCACAAACTTAGAGCTAATGATGCCTAATAAGAGAGATACGAATTCAAAAACTTACCTGTTCAGTTGAAGTTCTATCTGGCAATGGAGAAGCTTTCAGGGCAAGATAATGGTTGGTGTAGCTTCCTTGAGGTGTGGTGATGCTGTTCCAATATTTACTTTGCCTTGAGACTCCTTGGATTGAGTTGTGGAACTTCAACTGCAAAAATGAAAAAGTGAAAATGGTGGAACTTGTTAGAGGGATTACAGGTCGTGTTTCAAGTCATGGTTAGCTTGCATAGATGCTAGGGAATGTGTATGAACTGGTTTGGGCAAGAATGCTTGAAAGGATTGAGAGTTGGAACTCAATCTGCAGAGGTTACTCTATTTGAGCAGTTTCAAGGTGATTCTGAGTTTTGGGAGGGATTGGAGGTAAAAGGTTCATGCTTTAGCTTAGGATCAATTTTTGGAATGTGTTTGATAAGTTTGTCTAAGTGTTTGTCAGCTGATATGAGAGTTGGGACAAGTTATGCTATCTTACTTGAACTTGAAGCAAGCAATGGCCACTTGATGATTCTAGCCTGTACAGGCCCTCACACTATGCTGCATACATTGGCCTTGATCAGTGCAATTTGCTCACAAACTTGTGCCAAGAAGATTTGGACTGTACCACTTGGATTGCAAACTTGACATAAAGTTCTCCTTTTCAAAAATGGAAATAGTGCTTTTTCTAGTTTAGGGTTAATTCTCCATGTAATGTCCAAATGCTTAGAATAACAACTTGGCACAATGGTTTTGCATTAAATTATTGTGTGTCAAAGGGTTTTAGGACCTGTAATGTAGCTTAAGCATGCTGAGATTGAAATGCATAGTGTTATGAACATGTACATGGCCAAGAACAAAAGTGACTTTTTCCCATTTTGCAAAATTCGATTCTCCCTAACCATGAGGTTGTTTGAGAAGTTCTTGGACATTTTGGAAAGCTTGGAATGTGTACTACAATCCATCTTTGAAATGCAAATTGAAATTCCAAGTGGAATTGTATGGAAAATGGCCTTGAAGTTGGGTAGAAAACCTTGTCAAAATAGGTTAAAATTTCACTAAGTTAAGAATGGTTTAGTGCCCTTATTCAAAAATTTGTAACTTGAGATACAAGCCTCAAATGGGAAAACTTTGTGAATCAAAGTTTTAGATTATGCAACAAGCTACAAATTTCATGTTTTGACTTTTGTTTGAATCCAAATGGATCTTGGTGAAAAAGTGGGGCAAAGTTGGGAAAAATTAGGGTTTTTTATAACTTAGAAAAATTCTAAGTTATGAAAAATTCTAATTTCTAACCCTAATTTGCATTTTGTGATTTCTTGGTGAACAAGTTTCATGATTTGGCATATTTTGATGAAAAATGAATCTTGACTCTTGATTTTGACCAAAAAGTCAAAGTTTGACTTTTCAGTATACAGTCAAAATTGATCAATTGACTGGGAAATTCAACTATCAATCTTGTGTACTTGGGATCTTTTGAGTTTGTTGAGCATGTCAAGATAATTCCATGGGGCCTTTGAGTCCATATGTGAGCTTGGTTTGCCATTGGCTAGGTCAAACAGTCAAAAATTGCCTTTGTGCAGTCAAAACCCTAAAAATGACCATTTTGCCCTTTTGGTGATTTGATCAAATTTCTTGTGGAATTGTGGTCCAAACTTGATCAAATGGTTCATAGGAGTTCATAATGTTGATGTGGGTCAATTTTCATGAGGTTTGACTGTCAATTGGCCACAGTTGACTTTTTCCCCAATACAGTTGATTTCTAGGTCAACTGTCCAATTGACTGGGCAAAACTTGGAATCAAGGCTTGAAACTTGGTGTGGGTAAACTTGGGAGTCCAATATGAAGCATGAAAGTCATCTTAGGCATTTTAGGTCAAAACATCTTTGTGCAAACACAAACCCTAATTTGGGTCCATAGTGCAAGGAGAAGTCTTGAGCAGATGAAACCCTGACTGGATCTTGAGCTTAAAGGGCTTTGTGATGAGAAATCATTGAGAAATGGGAGGGGAAATTTTTGGGTACAACAGGCGGCCTCTTTATTTGAGAAGCTTGTGTATCCCCAACAATAATGTTTACTCAGCAAATGGCATCCCTTCGGAAAAGTCCCGTGGGGAAGTTTGTTATTTTATCCCTTTCAAGCGATATCTTGGTTAAAGAAGAAATGTGTTACCGTTATTGGTAAAATTCAGAAATCAAAGATGTTTATCTCCAGCTACAGTGCTGATGTCAATCATTTTGTTTTCCAGCCACAGTGCTGATGTAAACCATTTCTTTTTCCAGTCTTCGTACTGATGTAAATCTTTTCTTTTCTCGTCTCAACACTGATGTAAATCATTCAAGAGTCTCTCATTTGAAGTCTATGACTTTGTTTCCCCAGTGGAGTTACAACCTCTTCCTCTGTGGGATTACTGTATAATGTGTTTGGGTTCTCCAGCATAGTCTGTCTCATATGGCGTCATTCCCCATAAAATTCAGAGCATTACATTCATATCATATCATGAACGTAATCGCGGTATCTTAAGGCCAAAAATTGTGTAATCTATATTTAAGTCCATTCAATCTCGTCGAAATGAAGATCCCAATCTTCATATCTCCAGATAGAAGAAACTTAAATAGGGGCAGCTGTTGTACCCCAATTTTTGACCTAAGATCCCATTTTTATTTTTGCATTTTTAAAGATAAGTCAAGGTCACGAAATACGGTCGGTTTTAACGTCTCACCTTCGAGCTTTGACTATGCGAAGATTGTCAAGTGTTTTGAACATTTTTAGCCCATGTATCACTAATTTCTAATCCATACAAAGGTGTATGTTCATGTTTCCTTTTGCTTCATGTGTAGAGACAGGTCTGAATCAAGAGCATCATGTGTCGCACCTCAATTAAGATTTTGAGTCTCCCAAGCCAGAAGTACGGTTGATTGTGGATTCTTGAAAACTGATTCATCAAGGCACAACTGTTGCACCCTAAGTTTCGCCCCTAATATGTTTTAGTCGCACTTTCATATTATATTTTGTTATTTGGTCACAATCATTAGTAAATATCTTCATTCATCATATTTTTCATCATTAGTCGTATTTAAGTTGACCAGAAAAGTCAGTTTAAATCTAAGTTTGTATCGTCTTTCAGTTGTAAAATACCCGGCATTTTGCTTCATGCATTTTTATCTATTTACTCATTTGTTGCATTGCTCCAAGTTGTTTATATGTCGATAATCAAAATATTTCGGTTTTATAGACAAATTGTTAAAAGCGGTTCGACATTGTGCGGAAAATTAGCGAGAAAATATTTCAAGTTTTCACCTTTTACCGATCATTTTATGAATCTGCGTTTCGCATAGATTATGACGGTATGCTCGCTTTATTTTTCGGTACAGCTTGAAGTCTCGTTTTTAACCTTAAACACCTATTTTATCCGGATATTTTTATTATCATTTTATTTTGATTTCGACTTTTTGAATATTTTTTATTTAATCTTTGTGGCATGTAGATTTTTCTAATGTGTTCATTTTATTTTTTCGGATAAATTTTCGTCCGTTTTTTATCGTTTCGGTCATTTTGTGTCTTTATTTTTAATTCAAAAAAATTATTTTAAATTGAGTTATTTTTTATACTTTCAGGTTTTATTTTATTTTTATCATTCAGGGGCTTTTTGGTCACAAGAAATTATTGATTATACTATGCTTGATTCCTATTGGTTGATAACACATGTTGTGGATAGCTAAATTTTCCAATGGAATTGAAGGAAAAGCAACGGATGTGATTTACTTTGATATCATTTTTTATTTATTTAAGTAGCCTTGGCTCTTTGTAAAGGAGGGGGGAAAAAAACAAACAGTAACTATTACTTCCTTCTCTCTCTACACGTCACCACCAACAAAAAACCTTCTTCTCAAAACTCAAAACCTCCTCTCTTCAGAAAAATGGAACATCCTCCTACAAACTCAAAACTTTACCAGAGGCAGGAGCGCTCCATATGGTATGCTTCTTACTAAAGTCTTTAAGTTTTCAAAATTCCCATTGATCAAGAACAACCAACAGAAGTCAAAACCATGGCCAATGCGTCTAAACCAAGTTGCATGCGTATTCCTATTATCACATCCACTCTTCCTAACAGAAATGCAAATGCCCAAGTAAAGTGTATGTCCCATCCAAAACTCTGAAAATTGGTCAATCTTCATCTGCTCCAATTTCGTCTCCTGGTCGAATCCCAACATCGGTATCTCTCCCTGTTTCATTTGAAATACATCGTTCAAACATCTCTACAACTCCACACCCACCTCAGCTTCCGAGGCCACCTGTTCAGGCTTTACTGCAGATGGAACAAGGGATTTCCGTACAGAGAAATGTTCATGTGCATGAGTTACAGATGATGCAACGTTCTCAGGTTTCTTCAATGCAGACATATTATCAAACCCAGCAGTGACAATTTTCAAATGAGCAGCAAGTTCAACATACTCAATCGCAGGAGCTTTCAAATGGTGGAATGTCATTACACGAGTATTTTAAGTCTCCAGAGGCCATTCAGTCTTTGTTGAGTGATCGCGATAAGCTTTGCCAGCTGTTGGAGCAGCAACCAAAATTAATGCAGATGCTTCAGGAAAGGTTAGGCCAGATGTAGCTGCAATCTGACCAAGTAGAACCTCAGAAGCATGGCTTTTTGCATAGTCAATACCTGTACATGTCCATTCATTGTCTGCCCATGAGTTGTGGTGATGTTTGTGCATCAGCCACCAAACATCAACCACGAACAACCATTCCCGTTCCCTTTCCTCCACCTCAGCTTCCCCTGGCCTTATCCTTGTTGATTCCGCGGAAGAGTTCGATAAAATCCTTAGCAAAGTTCAAGATGACTCGTTGCACGCGATTTTCTATTTCACTGCTGTTTGGTGTGGACCTTGCAGGTTCATTTCTCCTATAGTTGGGGAGCTCAGTAAGAAGTATCCTAATGTGGCAACTTATAAGATTGACATTGATCAGGAAGCAATTCAAGACACATTGAGCAGGTTGCAGATTACATCTGTGCCGACACTTCACTTCTTTCAAAATGGGAAAAAGACTGATGAACTTATAGGTGCAGATGTTGCGCGATTGAATCATATTACAGAGAAACTCTTCAAGAAGGACTAACTCCGGCGTTGAGGTGGGAATTGCTGCTGGCTGATTGAGTACTAAGTGATAAAACTGCCACTGCACACCGCACCACCGCCAATCCCGGATCCGCTGCGCCACCCTATGTTAGAGTCGATCAACACTTTCATCAGGTTTGTTTTTTGCTTTATTTATGGTTGTGGGTTTTCTTTGTCTCCATGGTTCTGTCTTGCAGCTTGCGATTTCATTAGGAATTTCTCTGTATGGTAAAAGGGAAGAGTTTGTTTTGGGTTTAAGAAGAAGAATAGTGTGGTTGAAAGAGAAAGAGGATATTTGTATTTGTGAAGGAAGAGAGAACCTGAAGAGATACGCAATCTCTTTTTTTGTTTCAATATATTTTCTCTTTTATTTATATTACTTGTTTTTTTAATTAATTGCCACTTGTCATAAGCTGATTGGCTAGAAGTTTGTTTGAAAAGTCAAAACAACCGAGCTCTATTTTTCTTCTCATTCTATAAGGTGGCGCATGTTTTAAGATAAAAAAAAATATAAAAAATATTAGTAAATCTTATATTTAGATTTAGTTTAGTATTAATTTAGATTTTTTTAATTAGTTTAATTTTATTTTAGTAACTTTAGGATTTTATTTCATTTAGATTTAGAATTTTATTTGTTTTAGTTTTAATTTAGTAAACTTTAGAATGTTATTTGATTTAAGTTAACTTTAGAATTTTAGTTGTTAGTTTTAGTTTAGGGACTTTAGAACTTTTTTTGATTTAGATTTAATTTAGTAACTTTGGAATTTTTATTTGTTTTAGATTAAATTTAGTAACCTTAGAATTTTATTTAGCTTAGATTTAATTTGCTAATATCAAAATTTTAATTTTAGTTTAGATCTAGTGTAGTAATTTTAGAATTATTTTTATAACTTTAGAATTTGTAATTAGTTTAGAATTATTTTAGTAAGTAATCTTAGAATTTTTACTTAGATAATTAGTTCTATTTTCTTCTATATAAATATCTTTGTCATTTTAATTTCTCGATGCCTTTGGTCATTAGTCTGTTTCATTAGATTTGTTTTCTTGTGAATTTTCGAATGTTTATACTTTACTGATTCACCTTATTTTACTTGCTCAATTAACTCCAAGGAAAAGATTTAAATTTTGTTGACTTCACGTCATCAAACACATCTCATCCAGTCGTGCGAATACCCTCATTCATCTTTTGTTTGTTTACTATTTTGTTAAACCTAAGATAATTTTCCCAAAAGATTCAATTTTTAAACTCACACCTTTTAAGTCAAAAACTTCGACATTAGGTCATCGTGTCTTCAAAAATCTCGTCCATACCCATCTTTTAGCCAAACGAATCATTTTAATCAAACAAACAATTTTCAACCAAAAACAGATATTTCAAAAGGTTCCTGCGGAGTACCGCAGATGCATTGGGTGCTAATACCTTCCCATTGCATAACCAACCCCCGAACTCTCGATCTCTTTCAAAAACGCATTGTATTTTTATTACTTTTAAGTATTATTTTACATTGCATATTTTAGGGTTTTATTTCGCTCTTTTCCCTTTTCCTTTGGAAATAATAAAGCGCGGTGGCGACTCATGCTTTTGCGAGTCAAGTTAATTAATAGCTTGATCTCCGATTTTCACCGCTACACCAAGCAGTTAATGCGGTAGTTATATCAAGACCAACTTTTGCCCCATAACGTAACAATAAACAAAGAGTAGAGAGACCGCAAAGGCAGTATACTCGGCTCAGTATGACTCTATCTCAAATTCTGCCGCAATTGTTGAAAACCAACTTGGTGATTCCGAAGGAGGCTCCGAAGAATCCCAACACCATATCACCGCTGTATAATCCGAACGCCCGTTGTGCTTATCACTCTGATAGCCTAGGGAATGATACCAATAACTGCTAGGCTTTGAAGAATAAAGTGCAGGATCTGATTGATGCTAAGGAGATCGAGTTTGAAATGCCGGAAAAGCCTAATGTCATAAATGCTCCTATGCCCAAACATGGAGTGAATATGGTGGACGATGACTCGTTTGTGACTTCTGTGGAAGACGTTGCTACTCCATTGATGACAATGAAGAAGAACTTATTATTGGCCGATTTATTTCCGGGTTGTGGTGAAGGGTGCCACCTGTGTTCCATCCTACCTACTGGTTGCCATCTATTGAAGTCAGGTGTTCAACGGCTGATGGATAACAAAGAAATTATGTTCGAGAAAACTTTGGTTCCATTGATTCCTATTGAAGAAGTTTCCATAATCACCATTTCCGCCAATTCTTCCAAGGCTTCCTCGAGAAAGCCTGTTAGAATTACATCTGTTCCAAGAATTGCTCCATTGATCATTACCTTTCCTGGACCTCTCCCTTACACGTCGGATAAGGCTGTCCCGTGGCACTATGGGGATGATGTGTATTATCACGGGATTAAAAAAGACTTGAAGGACGAAGAGGCTGATACTGATGTCAGCAATATTGTTGGATCTAGTAAAGTCACCCGAAGCGGAAGACTTTTCTCCCTTGAGATTTCCCCACCAACCGTTCAGAAGCCTGTTACTATTTCACCTGCCAGTACACCTGCTACTGCTCCTGTTCATGTTCCAATCATTACCCATGTTGCCGAGTCATCTGACACTCGGGGCAAAGGGATCACCGGTGAGCCTGCCCGGACGGAGGCACCGAAGAAGATTACTGTTGAAGCCTCTAGACAGGAGATAGAGGAAATTTTAAAGATCATCAAGAAAAGCGACTACAATGTAGTCGAACAGCTGGGGAAAACCCCGTCAAAGATCTCTATGTTGTCTTTATTGCTATGCTCAAAAGCCCATGCTAAGGCTCTGATTGCTTTCTTGAAAACTGCGCACGTGCCCCAGGAAACATCTGCTGATCAGTTCAAAGACTGTGTGGCTAGTTTGACTGCTGATAACGGGTTGGGTTTCTCCGACGCAGATTTGACTGCCAAAGGAAAGAATCACAATGACGCTTTGCATGTTTCCATTGAGTGCAGGGACACTACTCTAGCTCACGTGCTAGTGGACACTGGGTCCTCGTTGAATGTTTTACCCAAGAAAGCATTAGACCGGTTGGATTGTGAAGGGTTGGTGCTGAAGCCAAGTAATATCGTGGTTAGGGCCTTTGACGGGTCCAAGAGGATGGTAAATAGAGAGGTGGATATTCCTGTTAAGGTTGGTTCCCAGAATTTTGCGTCTACATTCTATGTGATGAACATCCGACCGTCTTATTCTTGTTTGTTGGGTCGCCCGTGGATCCATAAAGTTGGGGCAGTAACTTCTACGCTCCATCAAATGTTGAAATACCCAGTGAAAGGGAAAATTGTTACAGTACGAGGAGAAGAGGAGTACATGGGGAGCCACCTTAATTCTTTTCGGTATGTGGAAATGGATGGGGAGTTCATTGAAACCCCGTGTCAACATTTTGAAGAAGTCCCCCAGACTCTGGCATCGACTGAAACTGTTGCTGAAGATCCTCCAATGAAGATGGCTTCCCTCAAGGATGCCTGGGCTGTTATTGAGAAAGGTGGGTGTGCGAATTGGGGCCAACTCCCTGACTTTGCACATAAGACTGACAAGTTTGGTTTGGGTTTCACTGCAGAAGCTCAAAGGGCTGTTCGGAGTGCGCGGATTGGAAGACCTCCCCTGCGTATCACAAATCCAGAAGTGAATGCAATAGAAGATGATGATGAAGAGTCTGAGTTTGACAGCTGGATTTACCCAACTACCGACGGCGGATTAAGCAATTGGACGGCAAAGGACTTCGTGCAAATTTCTTTTATTACATAGTAATAGACTTTTGTTTTGGATTTGTAACAGACAATTTTAAACTTTACGGCCCGATGCCTTACCCGAGACACCGTAGCTTTGGTTGAGGGATTATTATGTGTCATTTCCATATATCATCAATAAAAGCATTGGACGTTTTCTTGCATTACAAATTTTGCGCTCCTTGTTTTTCTTTTCTATCTTACAAAACAGCTATTTTACACACACTCGCATATACAGGTCTACATCCACTCTGGATCCCACTGATAACGACTCTGCTACTGCCAGTTATGACTTCGATAGTCCGATCAACTAAGCCGAGGACGAAGGTGAGGATGATTGCGAAGTGCCTGGTGAACTTGCTAGACTGTTACTTCAGGAAGAGAGGGCCATACAGCCGCATGAAGAGCCATTTAAAGCAGTAAATCTGGGTACAGAGGTAGACAAGAAAATGGTCAAGATCGGTGCAAATCTGGAGTCTAGTGTTAAGCAATGGTTGATTCAGATGCTGCATGACTATGTTGAGATTTTTGCCTGGTCTTATGAAGATATGCCTGGGTTGGACACCGATATTGTGGTGCACCGATTGCCAACTAAGGAAGATTGTCCTCCAGTGAAACAAAAAGTTCGCCGAATGCGCTCGGAGATGTTTGAGAAAATCAAGGCTGAGGTTATGAAACAGTTTGACGTCGGTTTTCTAGCAGTTACTTCTTACCCACAGTGGGTTGCCAACGTAGTTCCGGTGCCAAAGAAAGATGGTAAAGTACGGATGTGTGTTGACTATAGGGATCTGAACAGGGCGAACCCCAAGGATGATTTCCCTCTACCTCATATCGACGTTCTGGTTGACAACACCGTACATCATAAGGTCTTCTCCTTTATGGATGGTTTCTCTTGTTACAATCAGATTAAGATGGATCCCGAGGATATGGAAAAGACCACCTTCATTACGCAATGGGGTACCTTTTGCTACAAAGTCATGCCTTTCGGATTGATGAATGCTGGGGCAATGTATCAGCGTGCCATGGTTGCTTTGTTCCACGACATGATTCATCATGAGATTGAAGTATACGTTGACGACATGATTTCAAGGTCCCAGACTGAAGAAGAACACCTTGACCATCTTCAGAAGCTATTTGACAGGTTGAAGTTGTACAAGCTGAGGTTAAACCCGAACAAGTGCACCTTCAGAGTGAGGTCTCGTAAGCTGCTGGGTTTTGTCGTTAGTTGTAGCGATAA